TTGTTGTTGTTGTTGTTGTTGTTGTTGTTGTTGTTGTTGTTGTTGTTATATGATTATCTGATGGGCATATCCAAGACGATACTGTGCATTCTCTATGTGACTCTATCTTCTCTTATGGGAAATATGTTTTATTTTTCCCGGAAGGTGGAATCCACCTGGCAGCTAGCTAGGTGAGCAGCATGCCGGTAGGTTGGTAGGTTGGTATGCTGGAAAGTAGGTATGGTATGGTAGAGTATGGTAGGGCGTGGTAGGTAGGCAGGCAGGCAGGCAGGTAGGTAGGTAGGTAAAAGTATTTTGTCCTTGCACAATCACACCAAGCGGGTCTCATGTTCCCCAAGTTCCTTTTCTAAGTTTGCTAAGCAAATGCTCTCTACTACTGTGGGTGACCATGCCAAGTGATCTAGCCCAATCACTCAGTAACCATGCCAAGAACCATTCACGCACCAACCCCAAACTTCAAGCAAACCACCTACAGGTCAGTTGGACTTCATTTTACTGGTGTTGGTCATATCAAAACACTCTTCAAGTATTATAGAAAGGACCAGCTTTGGACCTGGATCAGCCTGGACCTTTAGTAGGGATCAGGTGTTTGGTCTGATCCAACCCTTCACCCTGCATTCACCCCGTCCCTTTCACCAAACCGCTCCTCCTCCGCGCGCGAACCGCTTCGCAACACCCGCCCCCAACGCGCACGACATGGCTCACCTGCTTCGCCCGCTTCGGTTGCTTCGATCGATCCGTTTCTTCACGTTCCGGCCACGCGACACCGCGACACCGAGTTCCGCCGGGTGACCGAACGCGACACCGAGGTGGTCACCTTCGCCCTCAACGAGCCGGGCACCGCCTACTGCCGCGTGACCCGAAGCGACTCCGGTGAGGCGGATCTCAGGAGCTGCGTTTGGTCTGAGAGGGCGCCGCGCGAGGTGAAGGGGTGTGTGTTTTGGGTGTTTGGGTGTTCTTAGGTTTAAAGGGGTGCATGGGGCGGGGTGAGACGACTTATGTTTTTCACTTGTGCCACATCATGACTCAAACTGTTGAATAGGAACTTCAAAAGAAAGCAGGCACACGCTGCTGTAGGAAGATGCTCGTTTATGACCGGTTTTTTTCGTTTTAATTCGACTTGAATGTCCAGGTGCCGCTGCAGGCTGCAGACCTGGCTGTAGACCTCGGTACTCCGTCAGGATCAATCGGATCTTATCGGCCAACTACTATGCCTCGGTGTCCGCGGCCAATATCCAGGCGCTGACGTCGGCCGTCGTGGCGTGAGGCCTGTCCCGTAACGGCCCGGCCCCGGCGGGCTCCAGTCGTAGCTTCGATTCGGAGGTGGGACGGGTTAGGGTGGGTCCTGTCATACCGAACCTGAGGAGGCACAACTAGAGCCCATCCGGGTTTGGAATCAGGAACCCTATAGGCGACAGGGCTACAGTTCTTTCCTCCCAGACACGAAGACTGGACCCGAATCCTTTGGAGGGGTCTATAGGGTCGAACCAATCCGCCATAGTCTTTGAGGGATCGGAAGGTAGACCATCGGGGCATCTCCTGGCACCTGGACCTATAGTCCCATCATGTCCCATCTAAGGCGGTCTTCGCGTTGTTGAGGGGGCAAGGCTAAGGGATGGTTTGGGGGGAACAGTATATTTAGGGCTCCCGGCCCATCTCCGACACGTTGACCGGTGGTAAGACCGACCCCCCCAAGACCACGCCACCAGTCAGCATGATGAAGTCAGTCTGGGAGCCTGCTAGTTTGCGACATTATTGAATTTCACGGATTTCCACTTGGTGGGATGAGGTTCTTCTCCTCCTCTCATTTTCCATTGCATGCATCGTATATCGTCATATTATATCATATATTATGCCCTACCAAATACCTGGCTGCAGTGGAAACTGGTGCCGTCCCAGAGCATCCATGGGACTGGCCCATGGGACTGATGCAGGCTCAGGGGTCTTTCTGGGGCAGCATCTATGCCAGTCCGGATGGTCCAGTCGCATCTCGCCATCACCGTACCGGGCAGAACACCATCACCATCGACCAGTTAGAGTCCCGGGACACGAAGAGTCTCTACGAGGCGGGGAAGGGGACGCTCTTCCGCTGAGACGTCGAGCGCGGATCCGATCGATGGAGGGCTTCTCACGAGATCAGCACATCCAAGGACGCTACGAACGTAGCTCCTGGCATTACTGCTAGTAAACAAGAAGCTACGAACGGAACGGCATCGCTGCGAAAGGGACGAAGGACCGCTATATGAACGTTTCTCGTCTTCGCGCGAGGTCGCCCTGCAAGTCGTCGCCCGGGGCGCCTGGTGACGTCCCGTGACGTGTCGACTGGAGGCTTCGCAGTACGACGTCTACTGCTGGGCGATGGACGCCGCGGTGAACACGCAGGGTTTGCCCAGGCCGAATTACATGACGCAGGCGGCCATCCGATGCTGATGATTGGTGTGAAACCATGGAAGTGGAACATGGCCCCGTGAGGAAGTTTGAATTCCTCCAGACATGAACAGGCTGTATTCCACTTCCATGAATTTTTCAGGGAATGGTAGTCGTTTGTTGGTGAGATATATTTGCTATGAAGGATGGAGAGGTGGGCATTGGATCGGGTGAACACGACGTACGTTTGGATTGGATCAGGGCGCTTTTGATGCAGAGGTTGTGCCGTGAGGTTGAAAAGAATGGACCCTTTTGACTGTCTTTTGGGTGGACGGTCTGTTTGCCGAGTTTCAGCGCAGGTATTTTACATGTTAAGCACCAACACGTGACAGAGGTTAGCATTGGAGATTGTCCTTTGTCGCACCAACTCATGACAGAGGTCGGTTTTGGAGATTGTCCTCTATCACACCAACTCATGACAGAGGTTGGTATTGGAGATTGTCCCCTATCACACCAACACA